GCACATCAGAGGAGGAGAAAATGCAGGGTTGCAAATTCAAAGTTGCTTTCACCCTCACATGTCAAAGCATTACTTTCTAGTGACTTCATGCCTGTTTTCTGCTTGAGCAGGGGGCTGGACTAGAAGACCTCCAAGGTCCCTTCCAGCTCTATTCTGATTCTTTTTTATATATATAATATTTTATTAGTTTTCTAATTTTACAATTAAGTATTTAAAAAGCAACGTGGTGACTGAGTTAATCAATAGTTCAATAACATACATAAATCTTTAGTATAAATCTCAACTTACAATATCAGATATTTCCTCTCTTTTTCCCTTAATATCTACTATATCATATTAGGCTAATACAATTCTTATTATTAACTAAGTAAAAACATCTTTGTTACATTTATCAATAATTTTTAGCTTATACATATCTTAATTGTGTTTGCATTCAATCCTTAAATACAATCAATGTCCTGTTATTGATTTTTTCCCAAGCTTTAATTTCCCATCAATATTCAAATTAACATTTGGTATTTATAATTTCCAAGCTTTAGGTAACCAAAGTTTCCCTTATCTCAACTTCTTCCCTTTTCCCTTTTCATAACAAAATCTAATATTCTAAATATACATCGTATCTATTTGAATGTAGTCTTGTTCTGTTTTCTAAAAGTTATCTATTTTCCACCATATTAAACCATCTAATTAATAATACAGTATCCCCTCTAATAAATAAACCAATAAATTAGTAATATACATAAATTTTTCTTTTAGATCTAATTTTTAAAAGTTCAAATACTTCCTCTCTTTTTCTGGTAATATCTATTATCTCATAATGGGCAAACAGAATTTTTATTTTCAACTGATTTCCAAATATTTTATATTAGGTGACCAAAATTTCTCTTATTATTCAATTATAATGTTACTTAATTTTCAAAAAAATATCTATTTTCCACCATATTCAACCCTCTAATTAGTAATATGAAATCCGCTCTAATAAATCAAAATCCTTATTTTCTTCAGCCTTACTCTGGCTTTCTTCCTTTGCCAACTAACCTTTCAAGTCAGTACTTTTGAATCATCAAATAGTTCTCCCTTTATTATTATATATATTATTTGGAATAAGAAAGCCATTTGATTGCAGTTTTTTTTTTGGAAGAACTAGCCCATTTGTATTTATTAGATCGCCTCCCTATTACTCCAATTTCACACAATTGTCCTGATAGGTTTATCTTCCCTTCAATCTGTTCTTCTTCCTTTCCCTCAAATTTCTTCTGATTTTTGTAAAAAGTCTTTTCCATTTTCAGTGTTGTCACTCCCTATTCTGATTTTTCCATTGGCTGGATCTGTTGGTCAATTGAGTCCTCGTCTCCTGTTATTTTCTGCATTGTTAGTTCTTTGGTTGTAGTCAAGATCTGGGTTTGTATATTTAAGCTGGCATCTTGTTCCTTTATGTTGCATCTTATTTTGTCACAAGCTGAAAGAATGGTTTCGTGTATTGATTTCAACATGGAAAAGATTTTTTCCTGATCTTCATCCATATTCTCTTGATAGTATGTTGTTGAAGACTTTAGAATCAAACGTTAAAAATAGTTTTTTTGTTTTTATAGGTAGGTATGGGACATCTATTTCACATGTTAATATAGGTGATCTTTATAGTAGAAATTGTTTGTCAGGTAAGAGTTTATAGTCCAAGATATTCCATCATCTCTTATAATAACATATGCTTCTCGTGTAAAGAAATAGGAAAGCAATTCCCCACGTATAGCTCTGAAAGTCAGTAAAAGTTTACATTCATAGTTCAAACAAGCCAGATATGCCGCCCAGAAGTTCCTTCTTTGCAGATGAGTTTTTCACAGGTGGTAGCTGTCAAGGTCCAAGAAGTCTTTTCTGGAGTCTGGGCTTCAAGCCAAGTCTCTTTTAGGCAATAACAAGTTGTAATACCACACTTCACCACAAGATGTCGCCGATGCCATTTAAAGCTTTTTAAGTCCAAAGTTTTATGATAGTTTTTCAAGTCTTATTTCTTTTTTTAGATAAAAACAAACATCTACACTAAGAGTAGGAACACTTTTAGTCCCCAAGTTTCAAAAGCATATACATCCAATTAGATTAAAATTGTTCTTATTGTTGCTCTGTTTCCCCTGGGTAGTTAGTCGCCGTTCTTAGAAGGTGGGGTAGAAATTCTCTTCCCTCTCTCCTCACAGGAGGAAAAAATACTTTGGGCAGCTTTTACAGGAAAAAATGCTTAAAGTCTTAAAGAGAAGATCAGATCTCACCCAGTTTCATCCGTGTTGCTTTAAAGGTGCTTGGTGGCGATTTTGACTTCAGCTGTCAGCAGCTTAGTGACGAGCCATATTACTATGGCCGGTCTTTCCCCCGCCAGTTTGGAGGGCTTCCCCAGATCCAACGGAAGGGCTGGTACCCTCCTGCAATCAAGTGGGGGGTCCCTTCCTTGCTCATCACCCCTACAGGGCGACTTTCAACCCTTTCCAGGGTCCCCCAGTGGGACGAAATCAGATGCAAAAGACGGAGCTCATCTTCCAGAATCCGTGGTGCCGCGATGGCAGACTGGCAGTCCCCCAGCTCTATTCTGATTCTGATGCATGTCAACTGATGGTACAACTGTCCATCTGGACATCCTCTTCCCTAGGCTGCATCTGAAATGTGGGACAAAAGAATGTGCAGTTCAAAAACCAATTCTTAAAATATTTGTTTATGAATATTAATATTCAAAGACCCTTTTGCCTTTTATGATAAGTTCCAAGGCTACATATTTATAGCCAGAGGTAATATAAGCTGCTTGAAACTGGTAGACAGAAAGATTTGTAGTCTTGTTCTCAAACTTCCTGTTGCTAAAGTTGTCCTTAGATTTTCAGTAGTCAACATACATGCAGAATTTATAGGTAATTGTATGTTTTTATATAACATTCACAGACTTGGCACTTCTTTTTTAATTGAACATTTTAAAAAAATTGAATAAATAAACAAAAAGGGAGAGAAGAGATATTGAAAGTAGGCTACATAATATATAAAAAGGGAGTTTACAAGCATCGTAGAAATTATTTCATGAGTGTGTTATATCATTTAAAAAAAATAAAAATAAGTACTGAGCTCTAAGAATATAAATGCCAGAAACAGTCGTCATCACAGCAGAAATCATAAAAGATTAGAAAATCCTATAAAGCTGAAATATGAAGACTTTTTGTAAAAGGAAACCAAAATTTTGGCTGTACAAATCTGTATATAAAATTGTAATCGGGAAAACATTTCAAAAGTTAAATTCTTTGCCAGATTTACTTTTAAGTAAAAAAGTTATTTTAGACCCTGAAGCATATTTCTATAACCAGAGTTGAGTGCTGCTTTTAATGGATATTACAATAATAACTTTCTTCTTTAATTCATGTAAGATGTTATCTATTTTTCCTTCTGCTTAAGGATTTCTTCCAAGCACCAAAATTTGGCTTTTGTACAACACTAGCTGCTGTATTCCTGCAAGGTTTCTCACAAATCATGAGGATTTCTGTTACAGGAAATAGCAGTACATGAAGATCCGAATGTGTGACTTTGTGCTTTTTTTAAAAAGATGTATTCTTCTAAATATGCAAGTTTATATACTGCTTTCCAAATTTGGAAGTCTCTTTCAAGTATTAAGATTTCATTAAGGACTCTTCGCAGTCCTTGAGGAAAGGGAGCAGCTTAAAACAATCTTGAATAAATAAATACATAAACAATATAAACCTATAACAAATAAAAGCACAGGGATGCATATTCTCATTCTGTTTCCTATACTGTACTCTATCCCCAAACACCCTCTAGCTTTTCTGAAAGATCTGAAATGGAAATATAAGAAATACTAGCTGTACCCAGCCACACGTTGCTGTGGCTTAGTCTGGTAAAAGTATGTGTTGCTTTTACGTCCAACAGATGGTGCTGTTTTTCAAAAAAAGCATGTTTTTACCTGTCACAGGTGTGACATCTATATAATATAGATATATAAAAACACGCGCGTATTCGAATGCAACGTTGTGTCAAAATTTCAAAGCAATCGGTGAAGAACTTTCGGAGATTTAAGATTTTGAACAAACGAACATTTACATTTTTATTTATATAGAAGAAGATAAGTGCCATGACATAGCTCTGCTCTATCAGGAACCTGGGTAAAGCAAGATACTGATAACTAAATTTCCTCTTTAGTTTTTTTGGGGTAAACTCTAGAGAAGAATGTAACATATGTCCCAATCACCTTTCTGACTTAATAGGTGAACACTACTTGACTAGATCTCTAATAGCTTGGAAACAAGATATAGAGGAAATAAGGTTTACAGTCTTAGATATGTAGCCCAAGTAGTGTGTTCCATCAAGGGATCCAAAACCAAATTCCATGTTAAATTCCAAATTATACGTGCACTTTTATTCAAAGCTGAAAAGCAGCTTTTAAGAGTGGGCAGTTTACAGTAGATAAACAATATGAAAGAAACATTTTCTTGTTCACCATTTTTTCCTCACCCAGCCACTCTAACCACGCGTAGTATTTCAGATGTACAGGGACTTCTTCTTCCAGATTCTCTTGGTTGCCTCTGCATGTGTGTGTACGGCCATTTTCAGCAAAAAGGATGCATATACACACTCATGACTAAAGAGTCATGAGCAACGACCTCAGAATGCAGCAACCATCATAAATACATGCCTGTTGCCAAGGACCCTAATTTTGATCATGTGGGGTGGTGCTGCAACAGTCATTAAGTCTGAGGCCTGGTCATATGTGACTTTTTTTTCAGTTCTGTTGTAATTTCGAACATTCACTGAACAAATGGTTTTAAGTTCAGGGTTATCTGTAGTTCCATGTTCCAAATTCTTTTTAATATTCCGTGAGTTACTTATCAGTGTGAAAACCTGGCTCGCAGATCCCACAGTCTCTTGATTCCTGCTAGTTGCCTAATCCATGACCCTTTCGTTTTCTCTCTTTTTCTGCCTCTTAGGGACTAGCTGCACATTACCCCAAGATACGCGTCATCATGGCATGCCTACACGAGACCCGCACGCCTTCCCCCTCCTTTGGCAGTTTCAACACTATCTTGACAGAGAGTTCCCTCCGAAAGTTGGATCCAGATGCCTCGGACTGCACCCCTGAGAAGGACTTGACGCCCACACAGTGTGTGTTGCGAGACGTCTTGCCCATAGATGGGAGTGGAGGGGGAGGCAGTGGACACAGTCCCACCCCCAGCGAGGAGACCCACGAACAGTTTGCCAACAGTGTGCTACAGCTCCACGAGAATGAAGCTGGTAGTGGCGGGGGAGGTGGAGCTGGCGCTGCAGGAGTGGGGAATCCTGAAGTCCGGCCCACCCGCTACCATGCTGACCAAGTACGGATCCACTGCCAGACAGGAAGTGGCTTTCTGGAAGGGCTTTTTGGTTGCCTCAAACCTGTCTGGACCATGATTGGCAAAGCATATTCCACTGAACACAAACAGCAACAGGAAGGTGAGGAACACGGTGACCACCGGGAGCAAGAGTGGGCAGTGGCCCGTTGAAAGAATCCTACAATAACGACTTCTGATTGTAATCCATGAAAGGAAGCCCATTGCTGAGTGTTGATTTCCATATGGAAATGTCTAAGAGTTCAGTTCACAGAATGTCCAGGCGGAGCTGGGAAAGACCCTTCTTTAAATCACGGAGAACTCTTTCCAGACATGCCTACCAGGAGTAGGGAATTTGGAGCCCCACCCACCCTAGCCTTCAAATTTCAGTTCTCATCAGACCAGTATACATTAGCAAACAGGAAGGATTTTCATGAGTTTGGTTTCAAAACATCTGGAGTATATAGCAGTCTGATGTGAACAATATGGGTTTAGGTGTTTGATTCAGTGTAAGGAATTTTCTGCATTCCTATTTACAACATATGTTCCCAAATGCAATTGGCAATTCAATCAGTCATGGGGCAATGGGGAACTTTGGACTTAGTTTGGATTAAGGCTTTCTCACAGTGTCAGTCATTTGTAGCATGATTCTTTTCACCCACTGCTTCCCTCAAGAACCCTTGATTTTCTGATTCTATCTGGGTCAGGAATTAGTTATAATTAGTTTACAGGCTAACCATACTTATGAGGAATGAAGCTCTAGTGCAGGGGTCTTCAAACTTGGCCCTTTTGTGACTTGTGGACCAACTTACAGAAATCCTCAGTCAGTGTGCCTGGCTGAGGAATTCCGGGAGTTGAAGTCCACAAGTCATAAAAGGGCCAAGTTTGAAGACCCCTGCACTAGTGACTATTCATATAATCATTAGGGTATTAGGCCAAATGCTATATAAGAAGCTGTCTTTATATATTGGGTGGAAATTAACTTGATCCCAAATGCCATAATTAGAATTTGAATAAGTGCTAGCCAAATGGGCATAATTAAACTATCTTAATAGAATTATGCTAGTTGCTATGCTAATTGCCAGTTTGTTTCTATGAGCAATCTAGAGTATTGCCTTTGAACTAAATCCTTAAAACATTGGTAAAATCAACTTTATCAATACCAAATGTTCCAGTTAACTAATGAACTGTTAGAGACTCAAAGAGAAGACCATTAGAAAATTGCACAATTGTGTAATTGTGAAGATCAAAAATACCTAACACTTTAGTCTTACAAAAAAAAACCTACAGATAATTTTTTTAAATTTTTCCAGTCGCTGGGTAAGTTGAATCCCCAGTTTTTATTTCCTGAGCAGAGTGGCATGGCCATTTTGCCTCTTATTTTCCAGTCAGATATGTTGATGGTTAAACATTTTGAGTACAATTGAGCTGATTAGATTAGATTATTACTTGCTTAGTACTAAAGTTTCTCAAAATCAGAGAAAGCCTGACGTTGCAGCTTCTAAGGAGAAGAACAGATGGAGGGGTCATGACTCTAAAGTAAAAAGCTGCAGATACCTAAAAAAAACCATTATTTTCTCTTTTGAACCAAAAAGAATATGATCATTTACAGTATTTATTTTGCATGCTACCTCAGTCATTGAAGGTATTCTAAGCTGCTCACATGCCAGGATTTAAAGCAACAAAGCATACGATAATACTATATAACATACAACAACATACAATAATACTACATAACCTTATATCAGGGGGGATAACCAACCAGGGGTAGGCAACCTTGGCTCTTTTATGACTCGTGGACTTCAACTCCCAGAATTCCTGAGCCAGCCTTTTTGAGTGGCAGTGGTGGTGAAGTCCATGAGTCATAAAAGAGCCAAGGTTGCCTACCTCTGGATTATAACATCAAGGTAGACTACAATGAACAAACTATTATACTGTATTCCCGAACCTGCTGGAAGAGCCAAGTTTTCACAGATTTATGAAAGCCTAACATACTTAGGCCGTTCAAATCTTGAGGGAAGGGGTGCTGTTTCATAGGGTAGGTGCAACTACAAAGAAGACACAGCTCAGCTGTGTCCCATAAAGTCACAATGCTTTACAGCTCAGATCTAGAGCACACCAACTCTTTAACAGTTCTTATTAGCCAGGCAGAAGCAACAAGAGAAAAAGTTCTAAAGGTAATCAGATCTTAAGTCTTGTAATGTTTTGTATATGACAGTCAATGCCTTGAATTGCAGCCAGAATCTTACTAGTAGCTGAGCAGAGACATTATATTGACAAAGTGAGGAACGCCAGTAGCAGGTGTTCAAAGGTTGCCCTATGGAGGATGTATTGCAGTAGTCTGACTAGAAGGTCACTAGAGCAGGAGTAACTGTGAGCATAGCCTCACACACTAGGAAAGGATGTTATTGGCACAAAAGATGGATTTCTGTAAATGCCGGATTTCTATGCCATGGCTGCTAACTGCTCACTGACCAGGAGATGAGAATCCAGGAGAACTCTCAAATTATTTTAAAAAGTCTGCTTTGGGAAGTGCAATTCTGTCAAAAATAGAGATGGTAATCTTGCTGACAGAAAGGTTTTTAAAACCAGAGCCTCAGGCAAGTCTCTTTTGAGGAAGCCCAGCTCCCACAGGCTGGAATAGATGGACAAGTAAATGCTTTCTACTTTCTCCTGCACATCAAGAAAAGCAAAGTCTCTCTTCCAAGAGGCAACTGAAAAGAATCATTCCCACCTACTGTACCTTGCACAAAATGGACAGGACCAAGGAAGCTGGGAGCAATCGCATCCATTTTCTGATTAAGTAGAAAATTAGATACTTAGAAGGTTCTTGTGTCTTTTCCGGAATCATAACTTCTCAATCCTGATCCTGTTTTTTCTTTAAAAAGGGGTGGGGTGGGAGACTTCCCCTCTTTGAAATGCCTATGCTGTGGTAACATCCAGCACAGTTTGGTGTTGTAGGCAAAGAAAATCCAATTGGTTCAGGTTCCCTGCCTTTGGACTAGTCCAGGGGTAGGCAACCTTGGCTCTTTTATGACTCGTGGACTTCAATTCCCAGAATTCCTGAGCCAGCATGGCTCAGCTTGGAAACCTCTCCCTTTCCCCTCAGCATGGCTGGCTCAGGAATTCTGGGAGTTGAAGTCCACGAGTCATAAAAGAGCCAAGGTTGCCTACCCCTGGACTAGCAAACATCTGTTTCATCACCACTCAAAGAAGGGTCACTAAGGGGAGCAAATCTCCAGATGGATCCAATCAGCCAAAATATTGGATGTAGGTTTTTCAGTTTGAACATGGCTTTTCCAGATATTTTTTCCCCTCAAACATACTTTAAAATGGGCAACTTATCAATTATGGGATGACTTCCGAATTCTGGGAAGATATTCTTATGAGTATCTTCCCAGAAGATACCTTCCATTTTTATTCAGTGGCTTCTACTGGTAGCAAATACTTCAGAGATACGTATCATGACTGAATGCCATTCATATAGTTTTTCCCTCTTGAAAAAAAACATGGAGGAATGCAGAATACTATTCAAATTTTGAGTTAAATCTTGAATTTCCTGCTTATTTATTTTCTTCCGGTCCCTTTTTATGGCACCCAAAATAAATGGAACCATCCGTATGAAAATGTGACTGATGCTATAAGGACATGGGCAGCGAGATGCTAGACTGATTATTCCACCCTGTCATCAGAAATCATTTCTTCCCTTTCTCCAAACAAGAAGTTGCATTACCAGAGTGCCATACCAGAGTCAATAGGAGTTGGACGGCATATAAAATTGTATTGCTGTTATTATATACACAACAGTGTGAAATCACAGCTGGCAATTCTTACATCAAGTTCTTTCCAAAAATCTATTTGCTGAGATTTTGTAATGTAGTTGCATAGTTATATGTGCAAATCCAAGCAATGTTGCTGTTGTTGTTGTTATTACAAGTCCTCTTTATGCTAGCAAGAAACTTGATTGGCATTGTTTTTTTTAAAATGCATTCTCAGCTTATTGAATGCCATGTCTTTGCAGTGTTCATATTTGCAGTGTTCCTGCAATATGCATAACTTCAGTTGTTCCTGGATGACATTATGCAGGAATTTTTGCCCTGTGGGTGAAAAGTCTGCTTTCCTCTGAACAACCCATGGCTACCACTTTCTTTTCCTCTCCATGCAGACCCGTGGGAGGTACCCTTTGAAGAGATCATGGACTTGCAGTGGGTAGGCAGTGGGGCCCAAGGTGCTGTCTTCCTGGGACGCTTCCATGGGGAGGAAGTTGCAGTCAAGAAGGTGCGAGTCCTCAAGGAGACGGATATCAAACATTTGCGAAAGCTCAAGCATCCCAACATCATCACTTTCAAGTGAGTGGGTCAGCATTGGCAAGAGGGAGATGGCACTGCCTTTCTTAAGAATGAAGTCTTCCTGAGGATAGTTGAACAGGGCAAATGTCTTTGCCAAGCACCATAATTTACTTCCTCTCCTTCACCCTTCAACACATACAGCACACAGCAGTTGATTAGCTGTGTTTCTGGCAACACACTGAGGCTAGGCCTGAAGTAGAGAACCAGGCCTTGACTTCACCCTAGCACCACCACTGCCACTCAAAAAGGCTGCCTTGTACCATTTCCCAAGATACCTAAATGTTGGGGAAGGGTGTGATTGCCCTCACAGCCCAGCACTCTCCAGGATCTACCATCTGCCACCTACCTTTAGACTATGTTCTCTTTCTGTTGACAGGCCTCTGCAGCCAACTCAAGGCTGCTCCAGTTGCATGAGGCCTTTGTTCTTGAAATAGCTTTGGAGAATGCTCTTCTGCAGCCTCCAAAAACTGTGCAAAAACATGCATGATTTTCAGAGGGTCAGGAGGCCACGAGAGAACATGGCCCTCTTGCACAAATTCCAGAAGGCTTGGAGGCCATGTGAGAGCACACCCCATTCTTGCACAACCTTTGCAGCCTCCCAAAAATTGCACAAGGATGGTCCATGTTTTTGAGAGTACTTGTCAGGTGGTGGTGAATGCTGACGTATCATCAAAAATGTTGTGGCATGTTATCTTTGACACACATGTCATAGGCTCAACATCACTGTTATAATGTCTTTTCTGGAACCACAACTTCCCAGTACTAGCCCTTTAAATCAGGGCAACTTGTGAGACAAGATCTTGGATGCTGTACTCAGCCTCTCCTTAGATGTTGCCACCTAGTTGTAATTTTTCACATGGGAGGAGAAGATTATTGGATACTCAAAAAGTAATCATATTAACTATAATGAGCAAATGTAAATTGAATTGTAATGCTCATTGCATCACAATTAGGTTTCATCTTGGCTCTGCCACATTTCTTTGGAATCCAGTGTGACCTTAGCTGATTCTCGCTGGAAAGAAACAGGACAGTAATACTGTATAAAATAAGTAATGCTATTTCAAATGTTGGAATTACAACTCCCATAATTCCTATCTTGTAGAACCAGCAAAATTATTTCCAGATACATTGGGCTATAATTCTTACATTTCCTAACTGCTAGCTGTTTCTAAGATTGTCTGTGTGCCTTTGAGTGAGTGTTGACTCTTGATGACTTCCTAAACAAGTTTCTGAAGTTTTTTTTCCCGGATTTCAGAAGTGCCATTGCCTGCTTCCTGGGGCTGAGATAGTGACTGGCCCAGGGTCACCCACTTGGCTTTTTGCCTAACGCAGAACTAGAACTCACATTCTCTCAATTTTTACACTCATTCCTCAAACTCTATATCAACTCTATAGAGTTCCTCAAACTCTATATCAAGCTGATTCTCCTTTTAAGAATTGTAGTCCCAAATATCTTGTGGTCACCAAATATGGAATAGATAAGAGTATCTATCTAGTAATGGCATTTCATATTCCAATAGTCCAGTGGTGGCGAACCTATGGCACGCATGCCAGAGGCGGCACTCAGAGCCCTCTCTCTGGGCATGTGCGCCGTCGCCCCAGCCCTGCCTTCCCCCGCACCCCCCTCCTCACCACCAAGGACATGGCAGCCAGGCAGTGGGGACAAGACTCCGCCCTCGCGCCCCGTCATGTGCAGATGATGCTGTGGGGCGCGGGCAGAGGGCGTGGCCACCATGGTGCTGCTGGGCCACCTGGGCGATCTGCGGCAGGCCGTGGAGGTGGTGGGTGGCCACAGGGCGAGGGTGGTGGGGGCGGTGGGGGGTTGGGCACTCGGTCTCTAAAAGGTTTGCCATCACTGCAATTTATATATCGTTGTCAACCCTACAAGATAGACAAGGAAACCAATTGATTTTAGATAGAATATTGCAAGTCTGAATGTGCTTCCTCTCTTTATCTTCATGTGAACTAGGGATGGGGCTTGTCTGAGACATTTTCTCAAGTTCCTTGGGGCAGACTCAAGCCCCTCTTATCTGACCATGGCCTTGGTAGAGTCTCTTCCTCCTGTCCTTCAAGATCATTCCTATGCCCTCTACAATAGGTGAATGAATGTTTATATTTTCAATGGTTCAATCCATAATGAAGACTGCAGAAGGACCCCCCAACACACTGTTGAGTTGCAATAATAACAACAAAAAGTTCTGGACCACAGAATGCTGAATAATTTGGGTGGGGGGAAAGTGGGAGCATTGTGTGGGGAACAGAAATGATGGTCTTTCCGTTTACAATGAGAGGAAGATGTGCAACATCCTAATTTTCCACAAGTAATGCGGCGGCACTAGGGACAGCTTTTGGCTTGTCTCTGAACAACAGCAGCCCTTCCCACATATTAAACATTAGGCTTTCTTGCTGGGACATAAGACAGAAGTGAATCCTGGCTCTTTGTCTCCCCAGAGATCATCATTCACAAAATCTCTTCAAAGAGCATGCTAAGCTTTGCAGGATTTGGTGTTATTTCTCCGCCACTGTTAAATGTCCTGCTGGTCCTTCGTAGACCATCCTCATTTTGGTGTTCCCTGTCCTTTCTCGCTCCTTGCAGGGGTGTGTGCACCCAGGCTCCCTGTTACTGCATCATCATGGAATTCTGTGCCCAGGGCCAACTCTATGAGGTGCTACGTGCTGGACGCAAAGTTACCCCCTCGCTGTTGGTGGACTGGTCCATGGGCATCGCTGGTGGCATGAACTACCTGCACTTGCATAAGATCATCCACCGAGACCTGAAGTCACCCAAGTAAGAAGGGAAGCTAAATAGTTCCAGGAAACTAACTTGCCAGTCAGGCAATGGCAAGAAACTTGGGGTTATTGAGGGCAAGGTGGTGTATTATTTTTTCTTCTGCTGAAACAAAAGCTCTCACTTTTGAAAGTTCAAAATCTTTCTCCAAATGTTATAGTTAAGGGGAAGGCTTGGTAGTCTGCTCTGCCTCTTGCTCACTGGTTCAACTGGTTCACTGGTTCAACTCTTTTTCATGCCTGAGTACAATTCAGGGTCATCAACCGTTTCTTGTAATGGTTTTTGCACCTCTAGTAGGTTGAGGATGGAGGGTGGTGTTTCCTAAATAAGCAAACAAAATAATGCTTATCTCCAAGGAGATTTACCATGTAAATTAGACTTCAGGGAAGACAATGGTGAAGGTGACAAAAGGTCAGGTCGTCCTTGACTTACAACAGTTCGTTTAGTGACTGTTTGAAGTTACAATGGCACTGAAAAAAGTGGCTCATGACTGTTTTTCACACAACCGTTGCAAGCATCCCCAGGGTCACGTGATCAAACTTCAGATGCTTGGCAACTGACTCATATTTATGATGGTTGCGGTGTCCTGGAGTCATGCAATCACCTTTTGAGACCTTCTGACAAGGTCAATGGGGAAGCCAGATTCACTTAACAACCGTGTTACTAACCTGACAACTAGAGTGATTCACTTAACTGTGTCATTAAGGGTCATAAAGTGGGGAAAATTCCATAACGACTGTCACCTAGCAACATAAATTCTGTGTTCAATTGTGGTCGTAACTTGAGGATTATCTGTAAGGCAAAGAACAGATGTGAGCAATCCCCTTCCATAATTAAATAGGGTTGCCAAGGAGGGCATCACATTCCCTCACCATCAATCAAAAAGCTGGGTGGAGGTCAGCGGCTGCAGTGCTGTCTGTCCAGGTGGAGGAGGGCATCATTTACTCACTCAGAGCTGAGCAGACCTCCTACTTTTGCTGAGGAAATAAGAAGAGTAGGGGTTGTAACCATGCCCTGTCCTCTTTGGTCTCTCTTGGTGGTTAGTTTTGTGATTTCCAGGTGTTTTATAGTCTAGGGCAGAGATCTCCAACCTTTTGGGCACCAGGGACCAGTTCTGTGGAGAGAGGTTTTTCCACGGACCGGAGAGTGTGTGGTTTTGTGTGCTGCCTGCATCCCACGGATGGGGTTTTGCTTGTTTGTGTGTCCCGGTTGCTGGCATGCCGTGGACCGGTACTGATCCACAGACTGGGGGTTGGGGACCCCTGGTTTAAGGGCAGTAGGAGAAATTTGCATAAATCTTGGTTTAGGAATAAGACACAGCAGAATTGCTCGGGGACAAGGAGGTAAAATTGGGATTGTCCAGATACTCCAACAAAGTTGTAAATAACTGAGGAAAAAATAATGCTTTATGAACCATTCAACAAGATATAGGTTAAAGAAGTAGACAATACACTAGATTCCTTTAAAATGCCACCACACAAATTAAGAACCTTTGTGGCAAAGCTATCTGCTACCTCCAAGGAACATACTGCCCAAGTCTCTAAGAGCCAGGCACAATATAAATTTAATAAATTATTATTACTCCATGGAGGAGTATTCCATATAATATTCATATATTATCCCCCTTAACTGATGGCACTTTGCCTCTGGGTGTATCTCAGAAGGAGCCCTGGACTCCATTTCTTTTTTTCTCACTTAGCATGCTGATCACATATGATGATGTGGTGAAGATCTCCGACTTTGGCACCTCCAAAGAGCTCAGTGACAAGAGCACCAAGATGTCTTTTGCTGGCACCGTGGCCTGGATGGCCCCTGAAGTGATTCGGAATGAGCCTGTTTCTGAGAAGGTTGACATCTGGTAAGGGGAGCTAAAACCCAAAAGAGATGCAGTGGAGAGACTGGGGAAGGTCTGAGTGGGTGGCCGAAGCATAGGACAACCCAGTGCCCACCAGATGCGCTGGGCTCTGGCTTCTATCATCCACATAACACATGCCCAAACAACTCCCACCAAGGTCTAGAAACAGATGCCTATTCATGCACAGATTTATCTTGTGCTCTCCACATCTATTTGTCTATTACTCCTAGTCTCATCTGTATATGCCCCCAGGTAGAGATCCTGTTTGGGAAGAGTATAAAAGGGGAAGCCCTCTGAGAATATTTGTTCATGCCAGAGGCTTCCTCTACTCAGTTGACTTTTCATTCATCTCTTCCCAGGTCCTTTGGGGTCGTTCTCTGGGAGTTGCTGACTGGAGAGATTCCCTACAAGGATGTGGACTCCTCAGCCATCATCTGGGGAGTGGGCAGTAATAGCCTCCATCTACCTGTGCCTACCAGTTGCCCAGATGGCTTCAAGATCCTCCTGAGGCAGTGCTGGTGAGTTCTCAAGTTCTATCACCTCTCAGCAACTTGGGATAGATTGTGGGAGGAAGAATTAGCCCAGGGCCAGCCCCTGCTCGGCTACAGCTTGAAGGAATAGAAAATCCTGCATCCGGCCTGTTTTTTGTTTTTGTTTTAAAGGAAGAGGAAAGAAGGAAAGGAAAGGAAAGGAAAGGAAAGGAAAGTTTTAAAAAAATTACACTATGGGGGGGATAGAAAAAAAAGGGGGGGGGAGGAAAAAAGGCAACCTTGTTTCATTATTTTTTTTGAAAAAATAACAGTTAAAAACCCAACTAAATAAATGTCAAAACTCAGAAAATAAACCTTTAAAGAAGGAAAGCACTTTTCGGGCTATTAAGATAATATAAGATCCAGAAAACTGAAACCCAAGTATTTTCCAGTCTTATTTATTTGCCTTGGTCCTGCAGAGATCCAGATGATACTTTTTTGTGCATATATGGAATGGCCTCTTTAAATAGGTCTAGACAATAAACATCGATTAGATAAGATAAGATAGATAAGATAACCTTTATTGTCATTTTTTACTGTGGGCACAACACACATCAAAAATGAAATTTAGTTGCCCGCTCTCAAAGTGAACACATACATGACACACACCTAAACATACTATATACATACAACATATATACTATATACAACAGATGTATAGACCTACACCCCTACATATACATAACATATGAATAGTAAACACTGTCCATCTTGAATATATAACGGAAGGAGGAAGCTTGAGAGTTCACAAGATTTATTCTGTATGGAACAAAACTGTGGCTGAATCTGGATGTTCTGCTTCGGATACCACGAAGCCTCCTCCCAGAAGGTAACAATAGATTGAAGTCTATCTTATTCACCATTACAACCACATGGAGTATTTACCATACAGGAACATTTCTATCAGCCTTTACATATTAATGCTGCTTTCCACAGCTGGGGCTCCCTAGGAATATACTCCAGATCTGATAGCCTTGCGATGTCCTGCCTGTGATTGATGGGGCTTGTAGTCTAAAATTTACAGAGTGTTAGATTGGGAAGATTACTATTCATGTTTTAATGGAATTTGAAGGCCAATTAAATGTAATAAAATGCCTGACTTTTTCCACATCTTATCTTCCTCCTAATATATAATTGGGGAAAAAATTACAATGTGTTTTTCAGATACACTTCTCTGGCTTCTATTCATGAGGGACCAAAATATGTCAACCAAATTATGTCATAGGAACCCAAAATGACATATGTCTTTTTGTAATGAATTATATATTTCCAGGAATGCCTCTCTTTACATATGTTGAGTTCACTTTTGATCTATTGGGATCAAGGTTTCCTTTCCTTTACATCTGGGCTAAAGAAACTGTGGTCCTCCAGATTATAGCTCTTCACAGATTCCTTGGGGACATCAAGAATTTTTTTTAAAGATGTTTACTAGCAGATATTACTGAATGAGTTTGAAATAGTACACAGAGATGGACAACATTTTGGCAGATGATGTAATGTAGATATATATATATATATATACATTTAATTTACAACCATCTTTTCTACAGCAATCTCCTCCAATTTATTATACCACAACAACCCTACATATTGTGTTAAAAGAGGAAAGACAGTCTCAAGGTGTCAAGGTTAAAACTTGAACAACACACCTCTTTCCAGAACTCTTTCCAGAACTCACCTGATCTGTAGATTACAGATCAGGAAAAATAATGCTTCATAGTAGAAGCTTACTATGGAACCCAAGAAGCTTTTATTCCTATTTGCTACATTACAATTGGTCCTCATTTACTGACTTTTTATTTGAAGTCATGAGGGTCCTGAATATGGAGACTTACAACCATTCCTCACAATTGCAGACATTGCAGTTTCTGTGGTCACTAAATCACCATCTGTGACCTTCACAACCAGCTTCTACCAAGCAAAGTCAATAGGGAAGCCAGCGTGAAGTCACAAGTAACAGTGATGTGATGTTGCACTTAATGATTGTGGGTGATTTATTTAATGACCGCAGCAAGAAGTGACAACTGATGTCGTTAGTCAGTGCTGTCATGTGATGGCTGGCTTAATGACTGTGCCACTTAGTGATGGAGTTGTCAGTCTCTATTGAGATTGGTAAATGAGGACTATCTGTACATGGAGCAGTTAATGACCATACTAAGGTAAACTCATGATATAAAGTTTGTGTCATGGTTCCGACAGATGAAACTCTTCAAAGAACTTCGAGGCATTGTTTACCTTAAAGAATCTTTATTTGAGAAGCATAGCATCGACACTAACACAATCGAAGTAAAAAACTGAATTCCTCTCCCCTGAGCACATAGTATCAAAGCATAATTCCCTCCTCCAATTAACAGTCATAAATCACAGTCTCCGATTAGTTTGAAATGCAGGCTTTCCCTTCAGTTCTTCAGCCCGCCAATTCTTATCATCTCTTATTTCAATAACCTTGGTTCACATACTAGGTCCAGTATTGTTATGTCTAGCTAAACTCTCATGCACATTCCTCCCCCCAGCATCATCTAACTCTAACTCTAACTCTAGAAGTAAAACATAAGAAAAAAATGGTTGAATCTCCAACTGTTGTCAAAGCAAACACATCCGATGTTAACAGCGTTGACAGTTTGATTGAAAGCAGAAAGAACATTTATTTCTATAATGAAAGCTTGATAAACTGAATAAACAATACTCCAAGAAATAAAATGTACTAATGCATAACACAGCAAGCTTTAATACCACATCCCAGTTTCTAAACTCTACACCTTACATTTCAATTTAATTCCACACCCATATATGCATTGTCATACCCCAAATGGAGTACAGGTATAGAGAGAGGAGCAGCTGCCACATTCTTGGGAATTCTTTTTGTGTGGGTGTACGTCCACTCACAATTTTTTGGTCACTTGTTTGTTTGTTTGTTTGTTTGTTTATCTATCACATGTATATCCTACCAGAATCTTGTAACCAGAATCTTGATGGCTCACAACATTTAACAAAACAATAAATGACAATAACTACAGGTAGTCCCCAGCTTACAGTTAATTTAGTGACCATTCAAAGTTACAACAGCACTAAAAAAAGTGACTTCACACTTATGTCCGTTGCAGCATCCCCATGGTCACGTGATCAAAACTCAAATGCTTGGCAACTGACTCAGACTTAGGATGGTTGCAGTGTCCCAGGTTTACTGATGCACTTAACAACTGTGTTGGTAACTTAACAACTGCTGTGATTAATTTAACAACTGTGGCAAGAAATGGCATAAAATGGGGGCAAAACAGTCTCAGTTAGCAAAAGAAATTTGGAGCTCAGTTGTGGTCGTACGTCGAGGGCCACTGGTAGACAAAATACAAAAGTTGTGCAGTCAAAAATATAAAACTTGCATTCCAGGCAGTGTCTGACATCAGCCCCTTATAAGTGCCCTCTGGAAGAACTCCATTTTCAGCTGCTTGTGGAAAGTGACTAGAATTGGTGCCAACCATAACAGTAAAAATCCTTCCTTCTGAGTGTTTGCCCAAAGCAACTTTGGAAGCTGAGGATCCTCTTTGTTAAACATCTGCCTTATTAGAAAACAAAAAAAACCAGATGCACTTTGTGTTGAAACTAGGAACCTACACTTTATCAGAAGAGTCCACAAGTATTTGTTTGCAACATACCATGCACATCCACTATCAATGTTCCTTTGCAGGAAGACTGGCTCTCAAGAATGACTGATGTGATACATAACAACCAATGAGTTGTATTTTAAGTGTCCTCTTCTGACAGCTGGACTTTGTGTTGGAAACTAGGAACCTACACTTTATCAGAAGAGTCCACAAGTAGTATTTGTTTGTGTGGGAGATGAAAATATAGCCCCCTCCTCATATAACAAGATGAGGCTGGAGCAAACCTGAGATAAGCCCCACAGTAGTGATTTAAAACAAAGCTTTAACTCGAACTCTATATTGTTTCACAATAAGGATATACTATTTGTAATCTGCTGGGCTTTGTGCAGTGTGAAATTGCAAAGTAGGTAGTTCTGTGTATATTTGGAACATAAGTATTGTAATCGTGGGAAAAGAGGAACTGAAAGTAGCTGATGGATGCGGGTTCCAATGTACACGGGTAGATATGGAAAGTTATGTTCAGCAGAAGGTCAGCAGGAAGTCAGCAGAAGTCAGCAAAAGTCAGCGGACCATCTGACTACAGTCTTAGAATGAGAAAGGGTATAAAGGGTTGGGTCTGGACCTGATGGATTTGCCATTGGCCTCTAGCTGTCCTTTTGGAATCTGCTATACCGTATGGTCCTCATTGCAATGGGTTGTTAATGTAAGTGATGTTGTGTTATTATGCTATGTTCCAAATTTAGAAAAATAAACCTCTGAATCTTAAAGTAAGAATTATTGCTTTGTGTTGCTGTCTTGTCTTTTCCATTGGGTTTTTCCACGACATTTGCAATATACCAAGTGTCCACCTCACTAGGAAGACAAGACCTGGAAATCAACTCCATAGCAAGCCTAAAATTACTTATATTGAGATTGACTATAATAACAGAATCTTGCAAGTCGGATTGTGTTGCGTCTCTTCCCTCTTCTTCTACTCCAGTGCATCAGGGAGGGGTTTGCCTGAGCCATTTCCAAATGTCAGCTCATTCTTCTGGACTTAAAAACACTTCATTCCCTTTTGCCTAGGACACAGTTCCCATGATGTATCTCTTCAGGGTCATCTTTGTTACCCACAACTACATCAAATGAGCTTTTATTGCTAAAGGTGGACCTGAATTAGTGTCTCCCTGCTCTTGGCCCAGCCATACCACCCAACAAGCTATGAATCCACCCTGTGTGCCTTCCCCTCAGTGTATTCTGTCTTCCTTCATCAGGAATAGCAAACCTCGGAATCGTCCATCCTTCCGGCAGATCCTACTGCACCTTGATATTGCCTCTGCTGATGTGCTGTCCACACCGCAAGAAACCTACTTCAAATCCCAGGTGGGCTTCCTTGGCAAAATTAGTACTAAATTGCGTTAAAAATGTATAGACCTCTTTTCACGTTATAAAGTCGTTTACAATGCAGTTACGAACAATAATATAAAAAACAAACTAGATGAAACTAATCTCTGAAATTGTACAACAACTTTTCACAAACAAATGCATCTTTTGCTGAGGGTTGAATAGCTCCACCTTTCCTTATTCACATTATGGAACAGATACCATGCATTGGGTGTCATCACCTACAAGAGCAGCATCATTGTAAACAGTTTTCTGTTCTCTAGACTTGGAGCCAGAAGGATTCAGGAAATGAGTTTATGGAGCTCTCTTTTCCTTCCCCAGGCCGAATGGCGAGAAGAAGTGAAGCTCCATTTTGAAAAGATCAAATCAGAGGGGACATGTCTACACCGTTTGGAAGAGGAGTTGATTCACCGACGGCGAGAAGAGCTCAGGTAAGGCTAGTATGAAACCATTAAAGCATAGAGAGAAGATTCTATACCTATATATGTATTTATAAACAAAAGGTGAAGTCTCATCTGAGCTGAGTTGCACTTCTGGAGGCTATATGGACATGTCTCTGTTCTTTTCCTAGTGGTACTAAAAATGAGATTTGTCACTCTTCAACCTCCCACTCTAGACTTGACATTTTCATGCAGAGCCAGGAATGGCTGACTGCTGCCACCTGTCATGATAAGTTTATACATAATGACGTATATTCCTTGCATCTGCTGGCATGCTGAAAATACCAATATTTTTTTGGGGGGGAGAGAGGGTTCCCCATCAGCAAAGCAATTTTGTATTCCTCAGAATTGAAGCAAAAATCTTGACAATTCCTCCCCTGTCTTTTATTTCAACACCGTTCCTTTTATTAAAACTAATGACCGTTATCTGTAAATTGAATTGGGCTTAATCTTATGGGTAAATTAATTTAATTTGCATTTCAATTAAAACTTTTTTCCCCCATTTCCCAAGCCTATATGCGAACCGGAATGCAACTGTTTGACATTTACATGCTATGGAATGTATTCCAGAGCTTTAAGAAGAATAAATCCTAAGAAAAAATGTAGATAATGAAGAAAATGCATATGAAAATACATATAGTGAAAAATGTATAAGACTGCATTTGTCAAACTTGCTTGCAAAAATGTGTCTTTTAAGAAGCACCTTTTTTTTTTAAAAAAAGTACATTTCTTGTGTTGTCGTTTTAAGGAAAGAACAATGAAGAAATAGAACAGAATAAAGTTAGAGTTGGAAAACCGAGACATAAAACAAATCTGACTATATAAATGTATCTACTTCTGCTAAACGCATCTTCCTCTTTTTTAATGACTCTTAAACCTGCAGTGATGTTCCATCAAATACCAAAGATGCTAGGACCTGTAATTTTCTGAGTTCACCTGAGTCCTTGCCTTTGGTTTCTTATACCTGGACTGATGCCCTGCAAGGGACTGTCAAATGAACAGCAGCCTCTGAAAGCACTGTCAGAGCCCTGTGATACAAGCTCCGCCCATTCTAAAAGGGGCGGAGCTTGCAGCCTGTTTTTATTCTCCACACCATAGCAGCCAGAACCTGAGCGTGCTACTGAATCTAATGTAGTGATCGAGGTGGATCAAAGCTGGGGGAACCTCTCAGCTCCTTGGTGACTTTGGACCAGTCAGTCGCTCTCAGCCCATTTGACCTCACAGAGTTGTGTGAGGCTAAGATGATCCCCATATAAAAGTCGTGAGAGGATAAGCTTGAGCTCAAACGGATAGATAAATAACAAAATCACGAACTGTTTATATGTTTGAAAGATTTCTTTGCTCCCCTCTCCTGCTTGCAGGCATGCCCTGGATATCCGGGAGCACTACGAACGTAAACTGGAACGGGCCAACAACCTTTATATGGAGCTCAATTCCCTTATGTTGCAGTTGGAGCTGAAGGAGAAAGAGCTGCTTCGGTAAGATTANTATATATATATATATATATATATATATATATATATATATATATATATATATATATATATGAGTCTTTGGTCATTCGGGTTTTCTCCCGTGTAAGATTAGAAGTATCATAGCGACGTTTCGATGAAATCACATTCATCATCATCAGGCTTGTGCTTTTAGCTTTGTGCTTCTCTATGATACTTCTAATCTTACATGGGAGAAAACCCGAATGACCAAAGACTCACATATAAACACCCGTGAAAACCTCAAAATATATATATATATATATATATTTAATTTACAACCATCTTTTCTACAGCAATCTCCTCCAATTTATTATACCACAACAACCCTATAGAGTAGATTGTGTTAAGAGAGGAAAGACAGTCTCAAGGTGTCAAGTTTAAAACTTGAACAACACACCTCTTTCCAGAACTCACCTTGATTTATTTCTGAAGATCAGGTAGATTACAGAGCAGGAAAAATAGTGCTTCATAGTAGAAGCTTACTATGGAACCCAAGAAGCTTTTATTCCTATTTGCTACATTACAATTGGTCCTAATTTACTGACTTTTTATTTGAAGTCATAAGGGTCCTGAATATGGAGACTTACAACCATTCCTCACAATTGCAGACATTGCAGTTTCTGTGGTCACTCAATCACCATCTGTGACCTTCACAACCAGCTTCCACCAAGCAAAGTCAATAGGGAAGCCAGCGTGAAGTCACAAGTCACAGTCATGTGATGTTGCACTTAATGATTGTGGGTGATTTATTTAATGACCGCAGCAAGAAGTTATTTAATGACCGCAGCAAGAAGTGACAACTGATGTCGTAAGTCAGTGCTGTCATGTGATGTCTGGCTTAATGACTGTGCCACTTAGTGATGGAGTTGTCAGTCTCTATTGAGATTGGTAAATGAGGACTATCTGTACATGGAGCAGTTAACGACCATACTAAGGTAAACTCATGATATAAAGTTTGTGTCATGGTTCCGACAGATGAAACTCTTCAAAGAACTTCAAGGCATTGTTTACCTTAAAGAATCTTTATTTGGGAAGCATAGCATCGACACTAACACAATCGAAGTCAAAAACTGAATTCCTCTCCCCTGAGCACATAGTATCAAAGCATAATTCCCTTCTCCAATTAACAGTCATAAATCACAGTCTCCGATTAGTTTGAAATGCAGGCTTTCCCTTCAGTTCTTCAGCCCGGCCAATTCTTATCATCTCTTATTTCAATAACCTTGGTTCACACACTAGGTCCGGTATTGTTATGTCTAGCTAAACTCTCATGCACATTCCTCCCCCCAGCATCATCTAACTCTAACTCTAACTCTAGAAGTAAAACATAAGAAGAAAATGGTTGAATCTCCAACTGTTGTCAAAGCAAACACATCTGATGTTAGCAGCATTGACAGTTTGATTGAAAGCAGAAAGAACATTTATTTCTATAATGAAAGCTTGATAAACTGAATAAACAATACTCCAAGAAATAAAATGTACTAATGCATAACACAGCAAGCTTTAATACCACATCCCAGTTTCTAAACTCTACACCTTACATTTCAATTTAATTCCACACCCATATATGCATTGTCATACCCCAAATGGAGTACAGGTATAGAGAGAGGAGCAGCTGCCACATTCTTGGGAATTCTTTTTGTGTGGGTGTATGTCCACTCACAATTTTTTGGTCACTTGTTTGTTTGTTTGTCTATCACATGTATATCCTACCAGAATCTTGTAACCAGAATCTTGATGGCTCACAACATTTAACAAAACAATAAATGACAATAACTACAGGTAGTCCCCAGCTTACAGTTAATTTAGTGACCATTCAAAGTTACAACAGCACTAAAAAAAGTGACTTCACACTTATGTCCGTTGCAGCATCCCCATGGTCACATGATCAAAACTCAAATGCTTGGCAACTGACTCAGACTTAGGATGGTTGCAGTGTCCCAGGTTTACTGATGCACTTAACAACTGTGTTGGTAACTTAACAACTGCTGTGATTAATTTAACAACTGTGGCAAGAAATGGCGTAAAATGGGGGCAAAACAGTCTCAGTTAGCAAAAGAAATTTGGAGCTCAGTTGTGGTCGTACGTCGAGGGCCACTGGTAGACAAAATACAAAAGTTGTGCAGTCAAAAATATAAAACTTGCATTCCAGGCAGTGTCTGACATCAGCCCCTTATAAGTGCCCTCTGGAAGAACTCCATTTTCAGCTGCTTGTGGAAAGTGACTAGAATTGGTGCCAACCATAACAGTAAAAACCCTTCCTTCTGAGTGTTTGCCCAAAGCAACTTTGGAAGCTGAGGATCCTCTTTGTTAAACATCTGCCTTATTAGAAAACAAAAAAACCCAGATGCACTTTGTGTTGAAACTAGGAACCTACACTTTATCAGAAGAGTCCACAAGTATTTGTTTGCAACATACCATGCACATCCACTATCAATGTTCCTTTGCAGGAAGACTGGCTCTCAAGAATGACTGATGTGATACATAACAACCGATGAGTTGTATTTTAAGTGTCCTCTTCTGACAGCTGGACTTTGTGTTGAAAACTAGGAACCTACACTTTATCAGAAGAGTCCACAAATAGTATTTGTTTGTGTGGGAGATGAAAATATAGCCCCCTCCTCATATAACAAGATGAGGCTGGAGCAAACCTGAGATAAGCCCCACAGTAGTGATTTAAAACAAAGCTTTAACTCGAACTCTATATTGTTTCACAATAAGGATATACTATTTGTAATCTGCTGAGCTTTGTGCACTGTGAAATTGCAAAGTAGGTAGTTCTGTGTATATTTGGAACATGAGTATTGTAATCGTGGGAAAAGAGGAATTGAAAGTAGCTGATGGATGCGGGTTCCAATGTACACGGGTATATGTGGAAAGTTATGTTCAGCAGAAGGTCAGCAGGAAGTCAGCAGAAGTCAGCAAAAGTCAGCGGACCATTTTATTTATTTATTTATTTATTTAATTACATTTGTATCCCGCCCTTCTCCTTGCGGACTCAGGGCGGCTGACAATGATTAAAATACTAACATATACATCTAATTAAAAATTGATTAAAAAGAAATATTTAGATACGTCAAATTTAAAAGTAATTAAAACCCCTTTAAAATCCCTTAGGCCAGTCCCGCGAGCTGGAAC